GCCATACAAAGAACTTATTCACTATAACTTCACTTGTATCATAGTTTTGGGACCTTTCTGTTGAAAATGTGTCAGAGTTAAATCGTATGTATATACATGCACCGTGCGTTAACTGGAGTGCAGGTATTAGTTACCCGCACTCCAGAGCATGCCTATTGTTTGGCTCATTTTGTCTGGGGTTTACATATTGTGACGGCAGGGAAAGGGAAAGCGATCAGATGCTCATTCATTGGTTACATTTTTGGGGGGATTTCAATTGTGACAACAGGAAACGAGTTTTTATGTTTGACTATACTACAAAAAAAAAAAGAACATAAAAAAACTCGGTAATCTGATTTATACTACGCCCCCTCGTATGAATCAGATAGCCTCGTGTTTCGATGATCTTTCTATTACTTATTGCCGAAAAGCAACAGAAGAGAAAGATCGTTCAGGTTATTGGCCAATGAGTAACTTTTTGTATTATATAAAAGTACACCAAAGTTAGAATCCCTATTAGAAAGGAAAAATAAAAGCATTTCTGAGGCATAATTTAAAGTTGTTATACTGTATCATATATCAGTTTATACTTCTACACTTTAAACGACATTTTATCCTTTGTCTGATTTGCTTGAAGTTTTATCGGCATATAATAAAGTAGAAAGTGTTGTGGGGGCAATTGTAAAATATATTTGACGTGTCGATATATTTTCCTTTTACATTGATTACAATTATTTATGTGTTGAAACGTAAAAAAAAACTGAAGTCGGTGTAGGGGAGGGGTGGGTACTAAAGTGGTGTAGTTCTTTCTCGTATCTCTAATGAACGTAATCATTAAAACCCAGTATTACATTTTCTACTATTTGTTTTTGTTTTCACTGCTCTTGTCGACCGGACGCCAGACTTTCCTCTTAAGTCTAGGGCACTGGACCGATTCAGAGGTTTCGTGGATCTGGGGCCAGGGGGTGACAGATCAAATTAACTTTCAAAAATGTAGATACAAAGAAAACATAATATATGATAAGAAATTACCTATTTAGTAAAGATTAGAATAATATAAGTCAAAGAAAATTAGATGTAACCAGTTTACAAATGCAACATATGGAGAGAATTAATCTGTAGAAAACTATATTCCATTATTATAAATACTTAATTTAATGATTAATGTTAAGGTTATAAAAACCAAACGTGCACAGTATATTATATTTTTCAAAATATATTGTTTAATTGACCCTATTGGTCAAACATGTGTTCGTCATAAAAAATTATTAAAATAATTATAAGCATTAGTGTGCATCACGTTGAGTAGTCGATTTACAATGTTACTGGCATACTACTTAAATTTAGAGTATAAGTATATTAGGGATATAGGAATGATATAGGTAAATTTGTACACCTGTGACGCTCTCGAGGATTTTGTTCTTACAACCCCATCCCATAAAAACTAAAAAATAGATAAAAATAGCAAACGAAAAACAACAACAGTAAATGTAAACTCTATTCCCTCGATTTTGTCTCAGTCACCGTTTAGTCATTTTATTTTACAAACAAAATACCAGAAACAAGCTTCTGTTTACAAACCAGTGTTATCACATCCCTACAGTCTGACTAATCGGCCTCCTATATTATTTAATGGAATTGTCACACACGATATGTCTTTCCACAACGCCAGATATAAAATACAAGATTAATTATTTACCGGTTTATTTGAAAACACGATGTTAAATGATAAAACATTAAGGCATTATTGCAATAATCAAATTTTTATAGTACATATTTTAAAACTTTTTCACTGAACTGAACACTACAAGAATGAACTTGTGTTATTAAAGTGACATTATGAATGAACAGACTTTATGACCGTCAAAGTGTAAATGTTTAGTGAACAGGTAAAAATCAGAATAACTTGACATCTGGCTATAATTCAATTTTATGTTTTACTATGGAAAAATGATCAATGATTCATATGATCAACGGAAAGTTCTTTAATATGAGCCGCGTCACGACAATGCCAACATAATGGGTTTGCCACCAGCATGGATCCAGACCAGCCTGCGCATCCGCGCAGTCTGATCAGGATCCATGCTGGTCGCTTACCAACTCTATTGTAAGTAAAGAAACTGATAAAGAACAGCATGGATCCTGATCAGACTGCGCGGATGATCAGGCTGGTCTGGATCCATGCTGGTCGCAAACCCATTATGTTGATTTTGTCATTACGCGGCTCAAATATCGTTTCGATATTGGTAACGCTAATTCTTAAAAAAGAATTGGTCAGTCTTTTTATAAGATATGTTTTTTTTTTTTTATATATTATATCAGAAATATTATCTATTATCATTTATTGGTCAACCACCATTATAATACTCAATCTATTGAAATATATTACTAATTAAGTTCAACGTGACAGCCAAAAAATGAGCATCATATTATTTCAACTCTAAAATTGCATATCAGCAAAATAATGATGATGAATACAAATTTGCATTATTTATTATACTTTTATAAACATGACAAAGTGTAACATTACTTTGTATTTAAAAGTTAAATGAACTTTGAGATACGGTAATGAAGTTAAATAATTTTTAAAAACGTTATGTTTTATTTATTTTTTTACTGAAAAAGGCGTAAAAATTAAATTCTTAGCCCAACATTTATTTCAACTTGTTTTGAAATAGAATAAATAGTGGTTGAGTAAATATAGTTTACATTAATTTTTTATTTATCACATACCTGTGCCGCGTTTGTGGCTCTGTAAATATGGCCATGATGGCAAGATCGTGCATAAATTTTGATGTGACTCCACTTGCGTTATACAAACATAGCGTAAAAGCGCGCTAAATGTTAGCGTAACACTATAAATGATTGTTTTTTCTAAAAAAAATATTCTCTTTGTATGCGATAAATAGAATATCAAATTCATGAAGGTAACTTATTTAACTGGAATGTTTCTAGAGAAGTCATGCATCATTTTTCGTGTATTTAAATCTGCGGATGCACGAGAAGGCATTTAACAAGCCCTAGAGCTTATCCAGATGTTAATGCACGAAAAGAAGACATGTGCATCTGCGTTATTCTTGCATGTTTGATGTATGTCACGTGCTAGTCCATTACATCATTTGACGTCATGTTTTGATATTAAACTGTTTAAGTCACGTGTACTTGTATTAACAACATGCAACAACGGTATGTATTGCCATGACAGTATATATCCGTTAATGCATGTCTTGTCACCTGTTAATGTATATATAATTGTGTGCGCGGTTTTTGTGCAAAATGTATTTTAGTGTATAACTAAATTTATATCAGGGGAGCATAATAATATTTTACTCAACGATTGAAGTAAATTCAATTCAGCTCGAACCATTAAAATAATTCAGAATTGAGCCTGCACTCATTCAATATCCTCTATATGATACATGTACATGCAATTATGATTTAGTTTAATTTATATTCATATCAACGTATTTCAGTATAAAAACTTTCAAGCCAGTGTCATAATTCCTGGGCAATGTTGAAATATTAACCACAAGGTTAAAGTTGCCCAGTCCTTCTGTGTTTTAATTATTAGATCAATAAAACAATGCAAATCCCTTTCTTTCTGTTTATTGAATTAGAATGTGGTAGATATATTCTCAAACATAACCTAACTTAGTAAACATGAAGCATGTACAAGTAGTACGTCCTAACTATTTAATTATATACGAGTATACTACTTTTATGTTTGTGAAATTAGTCATTTTGAGGTTGTAATTTACATTAAGTTAATTGTCTTTTTCTGCGTCTTACATTGAAGGATTCTATCACATTTTTTTAAGAAACTGACACTTTGAATTCCAGATATTTCTTATTTACTCGTCTGTTTTAATTGTTGTTTTAAAGACCCATTATGTCCCAGTATATTTTCATTTCTATTTCTCTGGTGTCTGATTATAGTTTCCAAAATTTACTCACTGGCCATGTACATGATATATCTCTAGCTTCTGCTACACTTTGACAATTAGTACAATTATAGTGATAAAATATTCTGTATGGAAGTGAATACCACCATGCTAGTGTCGGATATTACAATATTTTAATACTTTAATAATAATTAATATTTAAGACACTTGTTTGGCATTGTATATATCATGTTTACATTTTTAATTAAAGCGTTTCTTTCTTTAAATTTCAAATAAAACAAAAACCCTGACATGAACCTTTCGAGTTCATGCCGCGCGAAGTAATACGCCAAGGGTCATATCTATAAGAAATAGTCCCAAATGTTTTGTAAGAGAGACTTAATCTATTCGATTCAATGTTTATTATTTTAATACTTCTAAACTAGTAAGAGATACAAATATTCTTTTCTCTTCATTTAATTTCAATATGTATTGATAAAGTGTCTGATAAAGCTGAGGGTGACTGATAAAGCTAAATTTATAAGACATGCACTTTATCAACATAAGTCAATGTAATGACATGGTAAAATACTAACGTGTTACTTTGTTTACATTTTTCTACTTTAACTACAAGTAATTTCACATTTAGCACTACTTTCTTCAGATAATAAGCATCTTAACATGCTCTTCAATCATTGTTTTACAGTAACAAAACTCATGTTTTCCCTTCTTAAAAATGAAAATCTTATTCACTTCTTAGGCATACTGTGCCTTTAAGGTTGCTATAACCATAACAAAAACATCATTTTGGCAATGACGCCATGATGAAATGACGTGATGACGTTATTTGTTTATGACGTAAAATGTCGGCCAAGAATAGAATTAAATCTGTGTTCAAATGTTATGTTTGCGAACAATTCAAATAGTGAAAAACAGAATCTCTAAAGAAAGCCCTGTATGAGCACATTTGTCTTGGAGCACATTTGTCTCACGAGGTGAGACCGATGGGCTCGTAAACATTCCTATTTGCGACAAATTGGAAATGAGACGGATATGTTCGACATACAATAGAAAGGACACTCGAAGCACATTTGTCTCACATTCTTCCATAAAATTTTACTTAAAAAGAAAACTGTTTCTATCGTGGATTGACGTGTAATCGATACTGACCTGAATTCGATACTTTATGTTTTTTGTTTACCGCGACACCGCCGGAAGTGGAATGACGTCACACGGGATTTCATAAAACTACCTAGTTCCTAACTTTAATCGAACACTATAAAATTTTGCAAAATGCGCAAGAAAAACGTAAGTTTATTTACTTTTAAAAATGAAATGAATAAAACTTAACTTTTTACTAATACTTTTGTTACATGTTTCAAAATAAAAAGCTCTATGAATAATAATTTTGCAAATAAAGAAAAAAGCTTCATGGGGGGTCCTGTATCGTCTGCTATCTGAGGTCACATGATCGTCATGTGATTTCCATGGTCTATAAATAAGTACAGGGTGTTTGAAAAATACTTACCTGTTATAACATTTTGAGATTATTAAAAAGTATTTTATCTTTAAATTAACATTATAACAACTATTTATAATTTGGTTTTCTTTTCTTATAGGCAAATCCTCTGAAAACATCCATGAAGTATAGGCTGTATAGTCCTACAGCCATGACTTCTGCTTACCAAGCTGTGAAAGATGCCTGTATGCCTATTAAAACTGCTGCTCGCCAGTATGGTGTACCCCAGACTACTCTACGTGACCGTGTCCTGGGTAGAATAGATCCAGATACTGTATCCTCTGGACCACAGGCTTTATTCTCACAAGAGCAAGAGGCTTTGTTTGTTCAGCATCTTAAAGCCATGGCAGAATTGGGGTATGGGTATTCCCGTACTGAAGTCACCTCTCAAGCCAGTAACTTTGCCTTATTTCTTGGCTTACGGTATAAGAATCATCCACTCAGTGATAGATGGTTCCGTGGTTTTATGGATAGATGGGCCTGAGATGAAAGTTTTGAAACCAAGAGCACTTTCCAATTACATAGCACAGGCTTCTTCTAAGGAAGCAATTTCTTCTTTCTTTGATAACCTCCAGTCTGTATTGAAGGACAATAATTTGATGGACAGCCCTGAACTAATTTATAATGTTGATGAGAAGGGTGTCCAGACTGAACACAGTCCACCTTACATTGTTTGTACGAGTAAAACAACTCCAGCAATAACCTCTGCCCGCTCATCCACCACTACTATTTTAGCCTGTGGTAATGCTATTGGTTCTCAAATTCCTCCCTACTTTATTTTCAAGGGACAGAGAATGAGGAGTGAGTTAATGGAGGGGTCATCACCAGGAGCACAAGGCACCGTTACAGACAGTGGCTGGTCGAATACTGCCATTTTTCTTGAGTATCTGGAAACTCACTTTCTTAAATATGTACAGAGACCCAATAGTGAAACACCTGTTCTACTCATTTATGATGGTCATAAGTCACATATAAATCTTCAAGTTATCAACTGGGCAAAAGATCATCATGTTATCCTCATGGTATTGCCAGCTCATACAAGTCATATTCTACAACCTTTAGATGTTGGATGTTTTAGCCCTCTTCAAAGAATATACAATTCTGAATGTCAAAAATTTTTGAGGAACAATCCAGCATCTAAAATTACAAGGTACAATATTTGTTCCTTGGTGTGTCCAGCATATGCTTCAGCTCTGTCTGTTGTAAATCTAAGGTCATCATTTAAACGCAGTGGTATATTTCCTTTTAACCCTGCTGTTATTACAGACAGTCAACTGGCACCATCTAAGGCCTATTCAACACCACAGTCTGAATCATGCTCCTCATCTGATTTACCTCAGCCAGCGTGTTCTACTGAAAATCAGAACCAAATTTCAAAAGAACCACATTCATTCTTTAAAGCTGCAGAGACAGTAATAGTAAATAAACAAAGGTTTGAACAAAAGACAAAAAACGCTACTTTGAGTAAAATTGTTTCTGGGAAATCAATTACAACTTCTGAAATTGAAAAACAAATTACTGATCATCAAAATGAAATGAGTTCAAAGTATTCAAAATCAAAAACTAAAAGGTATGCAAGTGGCAAAGGTAAAACAAATAAGGTACATAAACGTCAAAAAGTGGTTGCTAGCTCTGACTCTGAAGATTCCTCAGATGTTTCAGATGATGAGAAATGTTGTGTTTGTAAACTTTTTCAACCAAAAGAACTACAAAACTGTGTTTCTCTGGTGTTCACTTCATGGTATAGAACTGTCGCGATTGATTATAAAGGGATTGACAATACAAACAATCCACTTACCTTCCACGTCTGGATCGTAGCCAAGCTAGGAATTGCCTAATTCTTCTTAGTTATTTATTACACTAATATGGCGCCCAACTGTCAGCCTAACACACTAGTTCCGGTTGGTCCGGAACCTTCCGTTAACTTCCGTCAACTCCCGTAACTAGCACCATACGGTACTACACTCCTCCCCGTCCTATTCTTTAGGAGGGGTCTGTGGCTCCAGGAGGTTAACCAAGCACTGACGCCTCTCTAGTCCAAGGGCAGACTAGAGCTTCCCGGTTCATACCGGTACTGGTACTTGACCATGATGCCAGAGGGCTGGACAACATGGCCTACTTGACTGAACCGTACCAATTTCAGCCAAGCCTCAAACCCAGACACTCAATGGCTGTCACGACACTTTAGGAAAGCTAAGGAGTTGGGACTCCTCAGCTGACAAGCTGAACATGGCTTTCAGATTGTCTTCCTGGTGTCTTTCCAGCATGGAAATCAATGACAGTAGACAGCGCCACTGCAACAAAACTGTCACAGCATTACCTTTTACCTTTGGGGTGAGATCTTTGGGCAAGGGTACCCTAAGAACCTCACAGAACTCCTTTGCTGCTTTCCTGTGATTACTGGTGCAAGTTTCCTGAGAAACCGGAACACCAGCACACTCCAGGTAAGTTACCAGGTCAAACAAAGTGCTATTAGACCCCAATAACCACCTGATCACCAGCTTCAAAGCACCAATCCTTCTGTTCGTAATGCTTTCACCTGTCAAACACATTTGGAATATGCCAGGGAGGTGGGCCTCCATAGCATGTCTCTGGGTAAGATCCTCAAAACATCCCGGCACTGGGCACCGAGATCCTTGCTGGCCACAGGGAATATCCTCTAAATCTGTGCCAGCAACGGAACATCTACATTATCAGGAATGGCCCTGATATCAGATGTTCGGTCTCTAACGCAACCTATACTTACCTTCTCTTCCCCTCCACTGAAGATTTGGCCTTCAGAGAGGGACTGTTGACCACGCTCACCGACCTTATTGGCAAGGACCGGCTGGCCATCTGCATCTGATTGGTTTTCATGAAAATCAATCCCGTAGATGACAGAAACCCTGGTACCCTGCTGGCCACCTAAACCGGAATCCGAAGACCCCACTGGTTTGGTTACCAACGGTACCACCTCATCTACATCTGTGAAGAACTTGACCCAATTGGTATGGGCCTTTTTACAATCTTCACATCCACCACAAGGCAACTGATCCAGCCGCGCACCAGCAATTCCACCTCGGCATGTCCCACTTTGCAGTGGTATTTTTGACATTGCGTCAGCATTGGAATGCTCGCGACTCACACGATGTCTCAACACCATGTTAAACTGGGACAGCTCTTCCAGCCATCTCCCCAGTTGCCCTTGTGGCTCCCTGAAATTCATCAACCACCTCAGACTAGAATGGTCAGTCCTGACCACAAATGGTCTTCCTAGCAAGTAGTGTCGGAACTGTTTGGTGAACCGAACTACTGCTAGCAGCTCTTTCCTGGTCATGCAATAACCCTGTTGCTCCTTGGTAAGAGCACAGCTACCAAATGCAACAACTTTCTCTTGGCCCTCTTGCACCTGCAAGAGCTCTGCTCCAATCGAATCATTGGAAGCGACCGTTTCCAAGATAAATTCGTCCTGTTGATTTGGCAACGCTAACACCGGAGGTTGCGTCAACAAGCACTTCAAAGTCCTGAATGACTCTGCTTGTTCTTCGCCCCAGACAAAGTTGGCTTTGCCTGTGACGGCGTACAATGGGGCTGCTACCCTAGAGAAGTCCTTAACAAACACTCTATGATAGTTTACCAACCCCATAAACCTCTCTACCTGCTTGGCACTGTTTGGAACAGGTCAATCCTTCACCACTGCTATGTCATGTTCTGTCATAGCAATGCTGTCTTTGCCGAGTTTACGGCCTAAAAACTCTACTTCTTGTTTGAAGAAGATACATTCCTTTGGCTTAAGCTTTAGCTTATGCCTCCGAAATCTCGAAAGAGCCTCCCGCAAGTTTGAGAGATGGTCCTCAAAATTGCGTCCAAGCACGATGATATCATCGAGAAATGCCAGGACTGTCTTCCATGTCAAACCTCTCAGGACTAAGTCCATTGCTCTGGAAAATGTGGCTGGGGCACCACACAAACCAAAGCCTTCTCTGATGTTTAACTGGAAGAATACGGAGTTGGCATCCAATTTTGAAAACCAAACACTGCCAGCAAATGTGTCCATGCAATCATCGACTAAAGGCAAAGGATACACGTCTTTGACTGTAACCTTATTCAACGTCATATAGTCTATGCAATAACGCACAGAGCCGTCATGTTTCCTTATCAAAACTGGAGCAGATGCCCATTTGGATGTGGCATCTTGTACACCCCCAGCCTTCGGCATTCCCTGAGGCTGACCCTCTTCTGCCCCTGCAAAGCATGTTGGCTTTCGCCTCATACCTTGCTTCACAAGCTTTGCCTCCTTGGTATCTATATCACGTTCCTTATCAGTGAAGTCACCAAGGTCAAGTTCACCCTTGATGAAGACATCTTGGAACTCAATCAGCAATTGCGCGAATTGAATCTGTTGACCTTCATCAAGGCTGCCACAAGAGGTGTCATAGACCTCCTGCAGGTGTGGTGGTATTGGACCAACCGCACCTGATGTTTCAAACACTTTGCTGGGCAAAGATGTTTCAACATCACACTCATTCCCGACAACTTCACTGATGGCATATGCCCTCCCTATCTCTGTTCCTCTCCTGACAAGGCGGTAGCTATCTGATGGATTAACAAGACACAACACAGGGGTGTTAGTGCCTTCATGTAACACTCGGGGAGCCAGAAATTTCTTCTGGTTCACTGGTTCCACGATATAGCTATGCAGGGGAGAGTGCAACCTGCATTGGACTCTCGCTACAGAGTGTGGAGGGATAACCTGTCTCTTAGACACTGTTACCTTGGATACCAAGGGACTATCTGATGAATGGACATCTAGGGAGATGCGCATACCATCAAAGTAAAGCTCTGCCTTGCTCATGTCTAGCACAGATTTGCCAGGGTCACGAAGCAAATCAAAGCCCAACAGCATTTGTTGCTCAATGGGGGCAACAAACATGTTGACCTGGTACCACTGGTGACCAACCTTCAACTTAACCGGACCGGCTACAAAGGCTGCCATAGACAATTCCCTGCCAGCCGTTTGCAGCTCGACATCCCTTATCTTGGGGGGCTTGTGCTTCAGGGAATTGTAAACCTTATCAGAAATGATGGTCACCTGGGCAGCAGTATCTACCACTGCTGTTACTTGGACATCCCCTACTTGGACCCCCATGGTAAACCTGGAAGAGGAATTGACCTGACAGACAACAATAGGATCTTGTTCGACTCCCCCCGTGCTTACTTGGCTGAAATTGGCAGCCAACCGGGATTTTTTAATTTTGCAGGTCTTGTCTGCAGACAGGGACGGGAAACGACCTACTTTTTCACCGTCCCATTCTAGTTTAACGACTTATGGTTGTCGTTAAGCTTAGGGCAATTACTTTTGAAATGCCCTATTTCGCCACAATTGTAGCATCCGGTTGATCTGCGGGGTTGGGACAATTCTGACAAAAAGGTTTTTGTCAGTCTTTGCTCCAGGTCATTTAAGGCTTTGCTTAAGTCATTGGTTGACATAGGCTCTGTCTGCTGCTCCCGTGATGGCTGGGAGGCAACAGCAAAAACCTTTTCCGGTTTCTTCCGGTCACCATACATGGCTGCATACACCTGCTGGTACTGGCGTACCATTTGTATGGCTGCATGCACAGACTCTGGTTGCTGCATGCAAACATTGTGACCGGCCTCTTTGTCAACCATACCCTGACAGAATCTGTTCACTGTTTGGACAGTGACAAACTCCTCTGGCAGCTTTTTAAAAGCTCTATAACCTAGAGTGAGCACTCGGTCAGCCCACTCATCTAGGGACTCGGTTGTCTCTTGTGCTGCATTCTGAAAACTTACCTGTGCAGCAGCTGGCCAAATCGGGCAGCCAACTTGCTAACCAGCCTCTTGTATGTAAGCTGACCTTCTTGTTCACAGACAAGCGCATAATACTCGAGCGCTTTACCATCTAAACAGCAGACAAGGCAGCTAACTTGTTCTTCATCAGTCCACTCGCCTTGTTGGACATAGCGAGTGAACTTTAAAAAGAACGGTTCCCAAGTACTCTTACCATCATATGATAAGTGTTCGGGAAAGGCAGATATCCAGTTACTAACCCTAGAACGCCTATGGGCAGATGGTGCCCTGGCAAACATAGAGTCATCACTGCAATCACTGTCCACTACCTGGTCAAAACGTATGGTACGTTTAGGGGTGATATAGTCTGGAAGTGGTAAGGTAGGGGGGTGTGTGGATTTTGACTTTTTGGCAGTAAAATCCGCAGGAGTCATCAACTTCAGATTTTTATGTGGAAAAACCTTGTCATCTGTTGCAAGGGTGCAAACAGATGACCGTTGTTGCTGCTTGTGAGCGGCCAGAACATTGGTTGCCGCTTTCACCACCTTCACCATTTCCAACCAATCATGTGCACTTGGCTGAATATCTTCCTCCTCGTCCTCGTCTGTGTCTACCTCCAAGCTAGATTGGCCTAGCTTGTCAGTATTCTCAGCTGGCAGAGACATATTCTGTCTAAAGTCTATCATAGCAAGTATCTCAGGGGAGAACTTGCGACGACAGACAGCCTCTAAAATCTCCCTGGTTATAATACCAGAGCTCTCCCTCACTGCAATGAGTGCCTTGGCTAGGCTTGCACCCACATTAGGTATTGCCTGTAGCCTTTCCTCAGACGCAAAGTTTATGGCAACCAAGGGTGGTTGCACAACCTCTGCTTCCTGAGAAAATATCTCGAACTTTCCCTTTATATTGATGTTCTCCATAACAACGAAAGATACCGAGAAATATTCAAGTTAAAATGTGTTTTAACTAAATAAATCTCAATATCTATCTTCTCCCCCTTTATATGGCAAAAGGGCTAAATGGAGTTTATCAAAATATAACAGTTACTGTACCAGTGGCAGCAGAACGAAAAGGAAATCCGAAAAATAAACAAATTCCAAAGAATTTGGTCCTTCCAGGCCACGTCTAACCTAAGCGGAATTTGATGGCAAATTCCCGCTTAACTACGATTATTTACGTAGAAATTCTGGTTTAAATCGTTCAAGCAGATGGACCTTTGGTAGCGTCTATCTTTCGGAACGGAATTCGTAAAAATTACCGCTGCCACCAATATAGAACTGTTGCGATTGATTATAAAGGGATTGACAATACAAACAATCGACTTACCTTCCACGTCTGGATCGTAGCCAAGCTAGGAATTGCCTAATTCTTCTTAGTTATTTATTACACTAATATGGCGCCCAACTGTCAGCCTAACACACTAGTTCCGGTTGGTCCGGAACCTTCCGTTAACTTCCGTCAACTCCCGTAACCAGCACCATACGGTACTACAATGGGCTCAATGTGACTTCCAGTCTTGCAATCACTGGACACATCGAAAGTACTGTTGCAAAGAGACTGTAGTGAGGACACATGATGTCTTCATCTGTCCATGCCATAACACTGAAAATACTGAGGAATAATCCATATAAGAAATAACACTACAAGTTCAAACAGTTTATGTTTTAAATTTAATGTTTCCAGTTATTTTTATATTGTTACAAGACTTTTGGGTAGTGACTGTACATGAGGTACTCTTCAATTTTGGAGTCTCGAATATACGTCAATTTTTTTTCTGGAAGGACAGATTTATATATGACTTTTGTGGAATATTTTCAAAAGGAATAACATTGATTAAATAATTGAAAACATGTGATTGACAAGAAAATAAGTTAAATTAAAGGTAAGACTATATTTTTTGTACTTCTGTTCGTTTTTTACTAAAGAAAATTGCCAAAAATATCTTGTCGTATCGAAAACCCGTCAATCCAGGATACTTAGTACATTGCAATTGTCCGGAAAGGCAGATATAAAAATTGTTCTTGGTTTTCTGTATTTTCTGTAATACCATTTTATGTCAATTCAGGTCAATCAAAACGCCCTGCCTCTGCATAGGAGTCATATATTAACTTGAAAAATATCCCTGTTCTGCATGCCACAATGAAAGTTTCTCAAAGTACATATGAAGCAAGTCCATTCTTATCGTTCTTAATTGTGACACATTTCTTTCCGATGCTTAAAATTTTATAAATGATTTAAGATATATTCTAAGCAACAACAAGGTAGTACCTACGACATATGATTTTCTTATTGAAAACGTGTGCAAAAACGATAGCTAAATATTACGTGGTCGCGTGATACTGTTTCGTACGCACGAGATAGCTATTACGTTCTAAAGGGATAGTTATTGAGTGCACACGCGTTAACTATTACGTGCGAACACGAATAGGTATTCCGCATTTTTGGACCCTGGACGGGCTTCCTCGCGTGTATAGTTCGACGCCACTAGTGAGTGTCGAACCTACAGCGGCTAGGAACAAGTGTATTTTTTTTAATCACTCGGCCAAGAAGGCCCATAAATGATCTAAGGAAGAAAATGAGAAGACCATCCAACACCTATTTTTGTGTACATTTAAAAAATATCGCCATTTTCCGAGAAATGCTGCTTTCTGATCCGCCATTGAAAAAACACTAATAACATTCATGAGTTCCTAAGTGAATCCGGGTAGTGCCATAATTATGATATCGTGACTCGCAGAATCCGGGTAGTGCCATAATTATGATATCGTGACTCGCAGAATCCGGGTAGTGCCACAATTATGATATCGGGACTCGCAGAATCCGGGTAATGCCATAATTATGATATCGTGACTCGCAGAATCCGGGTAGTGCCATAATTATGATATCGGGACTCGCAGAATCCGGGTAGTGCCATAATTATGAAATCGTGACTCGCAGAATCCGGGTAGTGCCATAATAATGATATCGGGACTCGCAGAATCCGGGTAGTGCCATAATTATGATATGGGGACTCGCAGAATCCGGGTAGTGCCATAATTATGACATCGTGACTCGCAGAATCCGGGAAGTGCCATAATTATAATATCGTGATTCGCAGAATCCGGGTAATGCCATAATTATGATATCGTGACTCGCAGAATCCGGGTAGTGCCATAATTATGATATCGTGATTCGCAGAATCCGGGTAGTGCCATAATTATGATATCGGGACTCGCAGAATCGGACGAGACGCGACATTCCGGCGAGACACGAAGCGAGGCACGATATTGTAACACGAGATCTCGCAATGCCGAAGTACAATATCGTGCCTAAATTTCATGTTTTTCACGCTTTTCGTGTCTCTCGGTAATACTAGCAGACGTCTAAATTTAAGTTGTCTTCTGTTTGAGGTATTAGAATTGATAGTTCCACTGTAGTTTTTGGTTTTTAGATTTCATAAAAGCATTAGCAAGACCTATTGATGATTACTCTTGAAATGAGATAAAACGAAGAACCTTAAAACAATTCTGACGTCGGAAAATATGTGACAAATAATTAATAAAAATGACAACTGCAGAACTGTAAACCAGATTAATTATTTACCAGTCAGTGAGAGTATGAGATATAGGTAGCCAATAGAGCGATATAATATCATTATAACAATGTTTAACTTTAATGTGTTGACTATATAAGATCAATACAACTTAAATGTTTATACTTCATCGTATAGTAAACTTTCATTGAACATTATATAGAAACAAAAAAGAATAGACTTAATTAAAGGTATTTGTTATGTAATGATATGGATTTATTATTATGATATGTAATTGTAAAGGAAAATGATATATTAAGTTCTGATTCAATTTATTTTTGGAATAAATTCTCGTGATCTTTAGGTAAGATTCCATTTACAATTTCATTTTTCTTCATAATAAGTATATTTTGAAGATCTTATAATTGAATGCCTTAGCTGATTTTTAAGCTTTTCCTGATAAGAACAGTGTCCTGTTTGCTTAAGTAAAACCTCTCTTCAAAGAAAATTGTTTTACTAGTAAATGTCAGATGCGATATCTCATAGAAATACCTTACATATAGTAGATACAACTTAATATATTAATAATTCATCCTCTATATTGATTTGAAAGGGACATGTTTATGTCTGATATTGTAATTTATGTATATATGTATTGTAAAATTGTTTATATTTGTATGACTTTTGACCAGAGTATGGCAGAGACATTGCATGAACTTGTACACCCAAGATAATGAATAAAATGTTTCAATCCTTCACGTTTGGCAAATTCCTTGTCTTGCATTACTTAAATGTTTGATCTAGACATGTTATATGTACGCTTCATA